CATAGGCCTCATATTGTCTGGCTGACGCTGCAACGAGCGTAGCTCAACCAAGCAACTGAACAAGAGAGCCTTGCATACCATGTGACGCATTTCCGCCCGATGCCAAGACTGCACAGTCACAGATACGCTCTTCTGTGCATCTGGTACAACAGGCTCCTTGGCAGCTGCTATTTCAGAGACCTCTTGGTCGTGAGAGACTGCGTCACGATCCTCTGGATCATCCAGTTCTTCCCACTCTTGCTGACTCCCGCTGGCACCCACTGGGTAGATAGAAGTCACCATCTGGAGTACTCTGTCACTGGCATGCCGCGCCAAACGAGAAGGAATAGGCTGCCTGTCATTCCTGCGAGGACGGGGGGGAGAGACTGCCTTGCCCGGATGCAGCTCGGCTTCCACGGCAGTGCGCTCGCGGACAGCTGTTGTCTTCCTTTCCACCGGCAGTTCAAAACTTCTCGCAGGCCCTCTCTGAAAGAATTTCGAACTCGTACGCGGACGTTCAAAAGATGGCTGCTCATCGCCCATCGCATTACCACTACCCAAGTGATCCGAAAGCAAAAGCTCTTCATCAAGGGCGCGTCTCTGCCTCCTGTGTGGACCTATCACAAGACTCTTGACAGGGGTGGATGCATACCAGCAGATGCCGGACCGCTTGGCCCAACGGCGCACAACAAGGTTTAACCTTGCGAGGCAGTCGCCGGGGCCTCGGGCCGGGTGCATCACATACTCACCCACGGCCTTCAACCAGCACTATGGCGACTAAGTCTAAAGGACCAGTCATGTCTCCCTACAACGCACGATTCTGGTAACGATGGCTGGAAGATGGTGTTTTGCTCGCAGTGTCAGCTGGGGTGTCCCAGAACACATGATGACTACGTCCTGCCAGGAAGTGCACCCCAAGTCATGCTAGTAGTCACGCTATTGCACATGCCAGACCACAACGACCACCAGCATACTACCCAATATCTTACGGCACAGCGATACACCAAAGCATGCTCGACTGCTGCAGATTCATTGTTATAGACCTACCCCAAACCCTAAAGCCTGTTCAAGGTTTTAGCCAAAAGGACTCGGGCATGGACTCACCAGCAAGATGCAATTGGCATTCAACAGCTGTGCGCACTGTGCATAGCTTGCTCCTGGTCTGGCCTGCTCCGTCTTGGGAAGGCCTTGTTCCTGTGGATGTATCCCCTTCTCTCGGACGGCCTTCCCCAACCAAGCTACTAACATCTTGGCTTCCAAGCAGCAGGTCTGTGTCTGAGCTGCACACATTGCTTCGAAGATCAGCAGCGGAGGACCTGTGCTCAGCAACCGCAAGCAAGATCAATGGTTAGGCACTGCTTCACCTAAGAGCCGGGCCCACTTGCTCTGCGATTGTGAGAAGCACCTTGACGTGCGCTCATCCGCACCGGCATGAGATCTTCTTTGCAATTAGTTCTTGGCGAGGCACCCTCGATTCCATCAGTCGACTCAGGGCCCATGAGGCGGCGTGCCTGATCTGGCTCGTTTGAAACTTCAGGACACCTTATGATGCGAGGAAATAGATGGAGGATGAGAATGCTTGGCACCAGACTTTGTCGACAATGTCAGAAAACTCTGGAACCTTGTTGTCACCCCCTGAAGCTGCCAGGTCCTGCGCAGAAAGCACACCGATGCCCCTACACTATCTCGTACACCATGGTAGCGAAGATCCATGGTAACAGTGCCTCTGGCAAGCGCAACAGCCTGGCTTTTGGCGACGTTGTCCTTGCCATGCAGCAGACGCACGGACAGCTGCAAAGAGAATGCCGAACTCCACAAAATTACTCTACGTCCTGTCAAGTGCTTCCGCACGATCGCCCTAGCCCAAACAGCAAAAGAAGAGCGTCTGAACTAAAGTATCAGCCCCTTCAAGTGAGCTGAGGCAGGCACCCGAGCAGCACCTGCAAGTCAAATGAGCCCAGCATGTAACTGGGTGGGAACGCATGCATGAAGAGGATGTGCTGCTGTTGCTGCCACCGCTGGTGCTGCCGTTGTTGCTGTACTTGTTGTTAATGTTGGACTCCCCCCCTTTAACACAAGGGACCCGTTTTTGCAATTTTTGGTGGGAAAGTATTCAGGAATATTCAGGATCCGGTATTGTTTACGATCCGTCAATTTTTGTAGCGTGGTAGTCCAGCAGAGGCCTGGGTCCACTTTAAGCATCGGTTTTTAGGGGTCCGGATCTATGACTTCCAGCCGCCCAAATGTTCAATGGGATCTTTTAGATTAAAAGGCCCTGAGCCTCAGGCCTGCAGGGATTCTACTTAGATTTTGTGGTTTTGCTTGAGCTTTAACTTGAATTCCAACTGTCCTATTTTAGGTTATCGGTTTATGTGAATTGGATTCGCACTTGTTTCGATTAGGTTTATTATTGTGTTGATTAGATTTCCACTTGAGCTATAGTCTAAACTCCTAGTATCCCCCTTAATAACCCCTATATAGTAGTCCCCCATATAATCCCCTATATAACCCCCTGTAAGGATTTCAGACCATGGCTCACTTGATGTAACCGGATTTCAATTGGTTTTGCCATGGTTGCAAATTAGTTTTTGAATAGATTTGAATTGTAATTCACTTGGCTTTAATTGGGTTGTAGGCTACTGCGATTCTTTGTTGATTCTAAGTAGATGTTATTTGATCTTATTTAGATGTTGGATGTTCTTAATTGAACTCCAAATTCATTCATCTTAATCAGGCTTGAATGAAGTTTCAGCCGGAGTTCAACTGATTTTGAACAGAGCTTGGTTAGATTTTACGGCGGTTTGCCTGACGTTTTCAGTTGGGCTCAACATCACTGCTGTGATTTCCTAGCTGCATCCCTTCACGGGCTCTTGCGATCACAACTCCCAAAGCCCGAATCATCTCAACAGCTTCTCTGTTCGCGGCCATCTGTATTTTGCCTTGTGTTTGTGTCCTCTTGTCTTTCGATCGGCTGTAGGACCTACATCAGAAGCATGTTGTCGATGGGATCAGATTTCAATCGCAGGTTTCTTCTACCGGGCAATCAGCGCAGTTGTCTCAGTACAAATGGTAGGTCAAGACGACGAAACTGTTTCAGCTCCTTTCACCCTTTAGTTCTGCGTGTGCTCTCTTGCGTTATCTCTTGTCTCGCACATCTCACTTCCTTGCTTGCCTCTCTCCGCACCACCACGTATGCGTGCCAATCACGGACCATCACATTGTCTTTTCTGCCATCTTTGCGTTTTGTTGCTGCCATCTCTTTCCATTTAGTTGTGGTCCTGGGCATCGTCCAATCTTGAGTGCCCAGCCTCCATGTGTAGATTTCCCATGTGCTGTAAATGTCTGCAAGTTTGGTACTAGAAAATCTGTGGCTGACGCAGAGCGGGCTTCATTCGTTTCCAAACCTTGCTGCAAGGTTGGGGGGCTGGCATGACTCAAGTCAGCATAAGGGAGTTACCAAGATGGTTTGAAAAAGCCGCAGTACCATCACCCAGCCAGAGATGTGTCACCTGCCTGGGCTGATGGGTCGTGGCACCGGCACAACACGCACACTTGCGTGGCCTGAGCAAGTTCCAAACTCAGGTGGAAAAATTAGAGCCTACAGAGCAAGACTTGAGCTATGTGCCGGCGGGCTCTCTTGCCGTGGCCTCCCATGCTGAGTATCCAGACAATTGCCAATCAACCTCACATGACCTCACGATCCCTGCGCATGCGGATCCCCACCAAGGGCTGAGCTGACGATGCGCGAGACAGTTTAGCCGAGGCCTCGTTCACAAAGCGATCCTTCCCTAAGAAATAAGCTAGGCAATGCAAAAGCAGTGCGGGCACAAGACACTATCAGCAGCAGTAGAAGCTGTTGCTTTCACAAACCAAGACAGTTGCACGTTGTATTAATGCATGTTATGCCCCTTCGTGCTGCCAAAACAGAAGCCAAGCGTCGGCAGAAGCTGCCGCCACCTCGAGCATTGTGTTTTTAACATGTCCTGGCTGGGCATGGAGGGCCGCACCTGCATTGCTCTGTTTTGCACAGCCGCCGCCTCAAGCATCAAGGTACTGCAAATGGACCCATCGAGGGGTTCAGGGCCGTGCCCGGTTCAACATGTGAGCATCCAAAAGCCTCGTCCCAAAGCAATTGATCTGAGATCTCGGCAGTTGACAAAGCAGCATTCTGGGAGGCCGCCTGCAAATTTGTTCTTCCAAGCCACAAACGGCAATTACCATTTGGTGAGCCTTCATCTTGCCGCCTTCATCAGCCGCCTCCGCAAATCAGTGCTAGCCATTATCATTTGCACGGCATTTCAATGCCAATACGCGGGGCATGTTGCATGGCATGAAGACCTGTTGCGATCTTCCTGGCCTTGCGTGGTACCCGCACTGGCTCACTGGCTGACCTGCCGTTGCCGGCTCCTGAGTACTTGCTATAAGCTGCGAAACGATACGAACCATCACACAGCACAGCCCAAGTGCGGTTGAAATGTATGAACTACAATTCGGACTCTCCACGCAGCTGTGGTTGCGCAAGCAGCTCGGCGTAAACAAAGGGCGCTGCGCTTTGCGCAGCCACGGTCGTGGACGACTACCTAACAAAGGGGTGGTGTTCCAGACTCTTGGCTCAGGAAGGCTCTGTAAGCTTGACACCCATCGCCAGGTGAGGTTGATTCGAACCTTACCAGTGTCACTGGTCTGCTCCAAAGTTTCCTGTATTCAACTGTATTCGTGGATGGCGCTTTCTGGGACTCGACCTTCACTTAGTTGTGCAGGCTGCCAACTGACCAAGGGCACCACTCCCTCCGATCCATCGGCCAGTACCTTTGCAAAAAATAGTGCAACTGAGGATGGTGGTATAGGGAGATATAGGGAGCTTTGTGCTGGCGGATGGAGCACTGCATGCGAGTAGTGCTTCTGGAGCAAGCCTGACGGGCGAGTGAATCCCTCTTGGCTGCTCACATCTGCGCAATGATGACAGGGACCATGGTGGATTTCCTTTTTTGCGCTTGGTGCTGCTCGCTGATCACACAGCACTAGAGCAGCGGCTTGCGAATATCCACCCACACATACCTGACAATTTCAGCATCCAAAGGCAGAAGAAAGACGGATCTTGTGGTGGCCAAGCTGCGGCTCGGGCCCACCGGACGGATGTGGCCGCAGCTCCGCACGGACTTCTGCAGCGAGGTTTGAAGAAAGAAGCCACCGTGTGACATCGGCCCGCAGAGATGGGCCCCAGATCCTCGTCTTGCGCAGGCCGCCAAAACAGGGGGCATCAAAGAGCAACGCCTGCCACCCAGGCACACGAAGTGCGGCCCGTCCGCTGCATCTTCCACATCAAACCTGGGCTGTGAACGCTGTGGAGCACTTTGCAAAAACTGCCTCCATGCTACCCAAATGCGCCCATTGGTGGAGACCCAGCTGGAAGTGTCCAGCAACGCCTAACGAGCAAGAGACGATGGCATTCCTGAATTCCGCACAACTCTTCTGCAGCTCCGATTCTAATGAACTCAAGCCCGCGCGTGAACCCACAGCTTCAGTTTCTGTGGGTAATTCTAGCTGCGTGTCCCGCAGAGCTCTGGCTCTTCTAGCTGATGCTGTTGGGAAATCGCATCAGCTCCAATGCCTGTACCGCAGAGCCTGAACCCAAAAGGATGTCTGGGCTGTCTTTGGACCACTTGCTTTGCAGCTTCAAGGATTTTTTCCTCCTTTGCTCTTGCTCTGCCCCTTCACCTCTTCTTCAGGCTCTGCCCCAACCTAAGTTCCATCTTCCTTCCTCGGTCTTCAACAGTGACTTTCAACTATGGGGACAGTTCATGGCCAGCAATGACTAAAGTAATTCAGGAATCTGTTTCAGAGGCTCTCTGCGCAGACTCACTGCCAAAAAACGCTGGCCTTCGTTCTGAGCATGTCGAAGAAGCACCCATCCGCCAGGCCTCAGAGCCCAGTGCAGAAAGTAATAGTAGAAACAAAAGCAAGAGTAATGAACGATAGTAATGATAAGATTCCATATATAACACTATCGATGTATGTATATATATATATATGCGCAGTAGTTTCCATATTTTCCATGTAATGTTGCATGTTCTTTTCCATTTGATTCTCCACCAAAAAAGGACGAATGAGTCACCCGTAACTGGTCTCAGCACAATCCAAGGTCGAGGCCGAACGACATGGATCATCTGACGGATCCCCAGCAAGGGATCATTCGCATGATCCAGCGAATTCCTCAGCTGGACACAAGTAGCATGACACCTGCTTCATCACATGAATTTGCAACCATCATCAAGTTCAAGTGCCTGCAAGTGCCGCACGTGCACGACATCGAAATGATGCTGCGGAAAGCATTGATGCAAGAGCTCAGTAGGGCATTGAGCTGGCACGGCGGGGGGCTCATGGCCAAGGATGTCCTGAGCGCTCTTCCAAGCTGCAAGGTCTTCTATAGCACGCTTGGCACAAAACTTTAAGGCTTACAGCCAGGTCACGTATAGCTGCATGTAAAATCTTGCCAAACCATCGGCGGCAACAACTGGGATTGCTTTGCCTTCTTGGCAAACAATATCTTTGGGAGCCAGCGGCCCCGACCCAGCATTAAGTACCTGCAACACGCTTCAAGCAGCACGAACTAAGCAACTACCATCATTTGCGAGTCTGAGGGATCATGATATGAAGAATCGCAACTGAGGATGCGGCGCGCGGATGGCCAAACTGCCTGTCCGCAGCTGCTCTGGCTTTCTCCACGAACGCGCAGATGTCTCCGTAGTGCCAGCTGACATACCCTGAACATAAAACACCCATGCCAACGCCAACGACTGTAAGCTTTTTGCACATCACTAAGCCGCTGCACTTCTACTAGCGCGAATCTGATTAAAACAGCACATGGACACAATGTGCTGCAGCGCTGCCAAATGCTGCGAAGCTGGTTGGGGGGCCTTCACGAAGCCACGTTTTGGCGCTCTGCCAGGCTGCGGCATCCACATCTTGATTGGTCTCGGACGCTGGGTCCATCAAGGCATGCCAGAAGCCAACTTCCGAGTCCAGGCCTAGCAGCTTTTTTAATTGCCACACAAAGGGCTCCAGGCAGAACCTTCTGCGATGTAAGCTGGTGACCTCGGACCCATCTGATAAGTAGCCTGACCAAGAAGAGGCCACCCGATGAAATTCGTTTTTGGCTGTTCCATCAGGGCATGTTATGCGCCTGTCCAGTGTTCGGCAGACGGAGCCAGCATCTCCAGCTTGCCACCGAGTGGGCGAGTCGCAAGAAGATGGGAAGCCAAATCGGAGGGCGCGCTGCCACTCGAAGTTGAACTTACGCTCATCCTCTTGATGAGCATGCAACCTGAAACGAAACAGGCCACGAACCGCCAATCGGTGAGACCGACGTAAGGGTTGTTTGGGTTCATTTGCTGCTTTTGCATCTGTTTGCTTGCAATGCCGAGGTTCGACGTTGCTACGAAGTCGATGCGGTTCCTGGGGCACTCGAACAGAGTGACATCCAGCAGCGCTGCAACACAGGCTCATTGCAGCTGAGCCGCGCCAACACCTCTGCGACAGAGAAAGGCCAGTCGGACGCATCCAGACAGTGGATAGCTTTCTCCAGCAGCTGCGTGGCTGAATCCATCCTAGGAATCTGGTAACGCTGCTGGCTGCAAATGCCTTCTCCCTCTCACTTGTGATTAGTGCAGACTTGAGGGCATGCATGCTCCAGGAAAAACATAGCAAAGCATCAGGAGTCGTATTTCAGAAAGCCGGCCAGTACCAAATGCTCCGGGAGCTTCATCCGCAATTCCAGGGCATGAGTCGGTGCTGCGATAGTAGCTTCCTGAAGCTGTGCAGGATGGGCACATGTGCTCAGAATATATGCAGTAGGGGTGATGCTGTAGCCCTGAGCCACGCCAGGCAGTACCAGCCTCAGTCAGCTTGGATGCTTGCGTCTCTTTGGTTTTGAGAAGCCATTGTCCACCTCAGCTAAGGGGCTCGTCCGCCTGCGAAATGCACTTGTCCTTCAGGTGGCAGCCGAAAGGGCCGTGAGCAACTGATGCACAGTCCTCAGCAACAGCCCGTTCAAATTGGCAGAAACACTTGCCCCTAGCACACGGCTGTGACAAAGCAAAGCATCGAGCCGCTGTTGACACAGCCGCAGGCACTCGTCCAAAGGCATACTCCTCAAGACGTCCTGACATGACAGGAGGCAACCACAACCAGGCTTTGTCGTGTGAGGAAGTGGCTACATAATCAGTTTGTTTTGTAACAAGGTGAAGCAGGCCACCTCAATGGCCTTCCCCTCATCCTTCACCGGCCGCTCGGTCCAGTACCATCCACTTGCAGCCTGCTTCATCTGCCTAAGAAAGCACCACCACCAGGGCTCAGAGCAGAGCATATGGTTCAAGGATCCTTCGAAACTAATAGTTTCCATTTTCTTTTCCATTCTCCCAATATAACCCCAAGCCACTACGGCTCGAACAGCCTTCAGTGTAGGTAGTAGCACATGTCTTCGCCTACGCACTGAGGCCGAGCCGCCAGGTCCCAATTCCTGGAGCCCA